AATAATAAAATAAATAAGGAGGCTGAGACATACTGACAAAGCATATAACCTAGATGATTATTTTCCCCCTTTTCCTGATAAAAAAAATCTGATTAATTAGATGTAAATTATTTGAAATTTTCCTGCTGTATCAGTGTGGTTTAATAATCCTATATGATGTAATTCATCTCCTTCAGCAAGGCATCCTGGTAAAAGTGGCTAAAACCATCAAAAGTTGGATTGTTTCTCAGTGCAATAAGAAAGATGACTTACTTCACAAGTTGGTAAGTGTTCGGTTTACTTTTTTTGTCAATTTTCAGGGCTCCAGTTTATTAGAGAATCGATGAATCAGAATTTGTTTTGCTACTGATTTGGGCAGTGATTGATTTTGATTAGAAATTTTCGGCAGTTTTCCAAAAGGAGATTGTCTACTTTATGAAGTGTTAATGTTAAATAAGGTTGTTTGTATCACCTAAAAAAAAATTCTTCAATAACTGGAAATCTTTGAATTTGTACTTAATTAGTATTGTTTCATAGTTCTTGTAAGAGGTTATTAGCCACTTCGAATAGAATATTCTGGTGGTTAACGAAACCATATTTGTTAGATTACTAATTTCCTGCTGCCGTTTCCTCCATTGACAGGTATTCCACTCGGTAGGTAAGGAAATCTGCCTGTCAGTGGGATCTTCTCCCTTTTTATTAGGAGCTTGACTATCTCTATCCTTATTACACAGCCTATGATTTGCCAAGTCTGGGCAAAATCAAAAGTGGCTCTCCCCTAATTTATTTATCATTAATCTACCTTTCTCTGACAACTTGATATGGAAAATTTAGTCTCCCAGGACTGATAAATCACAGAGTTTCCCACAGACTTGGGATAGTCAGCATCGAGAGTCTTTGCAATGGCAGTGAGGCTTGTTTTTTCTCTCTCTCTCTGCTGTAATTTATCTGCTGCTTGACCTCCTGACTCCCAAGAAGGCGTACTTCAAGTTTGTGCATCCTAACAATACAAAATCCAGGTAGTATAGCTAAAAAATTGAAGTTTTGATTTCTCGTGACTTTTAATAGAAGTAATCAGGTTACAGGTAAGGAGGTTTTCAGGATCCTCTGCTGGCCTGTGACCTTAAGATGATAATTATCATTCTTGTAAATTATCATTCATAAAGAAATGTTTACAAAGTGCTTTCACATTTTGATTTTGAAATCAAACACTATAAGGTTGAGTGCATTTTACCAGTTGGAAAGCCTGAGGTTCAGACAGCTTAGTTTGGTTTAAGAATAAGTATTAAGGGAATTGTTCAAGAATGTTCAGCTAAAGAGTGATAGTCAGAATTTGAACTCAGGTGTCCTGGTTTCAAAGCCCAAGGTTCTTTCCATTATAATGCACTACCACCCTAGCTTGAGTATTATTATGTTTTGGCTGACTAAAATTACTTTTTTAGCAACCCAAAAGGGCCAGTTCTCCGTTCAGGGTTTCATCTTTGTAGGTATGTTGAAAAGGTCAATGAAGTGTCTTGTCATCTACGTAGAATATCATCTCTGTCCAGGTGGAGCCATCCTCCTTCTTCAGTGGTACTAGGACTGTGGTAAGGTATATGGACCCATATACATTTTTCTGTGGTTTTATAACAGTCTTCATAGTCCCGATATTTCCATTCTTGGTTCTTTGTCATTGGCCACGTGTTTCATGTCATGCTTCACTCTAAGTGCCCGCTTCCGTAGGTATTCCTTTTGTGCCTAAATTATGGAGAATTGTAGGACGTACATACCTAAATAATAGTTTATGGATAACGGGACAAGGAATTTCCCAGTTGGCTTCTTGCATGAGGTTGTTTGACTTTTTCCCCTGGATTGTGACATATTTAAAATTTTATGAGCTATACAGATATTGAACCAGTCCCTCTTTCCTTTTATATAAATACTGGCATTTGCTCCATGCTCTATGATATCTGTACACTTTGCCATTGTTCATTTTTATTAAGGAGTACTTCTTAAAGATTAAAAAACTCCTTTATAANATTTTCTGTATATTTTTTTGGTTTCTTTTCCTGTGATATTTTTTTTTTCTTTTAGGAATCACTGGCTTGCTTTTAATTAGTTTTAACGCTTAAGCTTTTAAAAGTGGAATCAATCAGAAGGCAAGGGTGTAGGAGAATCATTTTCCAACATTTCTCTTGTAAACTCATATTTAAGATTCTTCTTTGGAGTAAAACAGGCTCTTCATTCTTTTCAAGGTGATTACTGAGTTGCAAAAACTCTCTGTTTTTCCCTGTACTCCCCCATTCAGTCTTGGCTGCCACAATCAGACAGACAGAAAGCATGAGGACCCCTTTTTTTTGGTATCTCCACTGGAACCTTGGCAGCAGACAGTAGCTGCTCCAGGTCTGTCAGATAAGCATTTCCGGTAATTACTCTTAAACATTCCTTCCATAAAGTTTAGCATCATGCCTCTTTTCTGCTTGGTCTCTTTTCTCAGAGCAATCTCATCTACTTTCTTGCCCTCGTTGGATACGTATGTCCTTTGTCTTTGTGGAGTTCCAGGTGCTTGTGAGACATTCCACCTACGTGTGCCCCAGGAAACTCAGCTTCAACATGTCTAAAACAGAGTATCTTTCCTTGGCACCCCACAAACAAAATATTTTTTCGTGTATTCCCAAATTACCACCCTTTAAGTTATCTTACGATTTCTTATCACTCCCACACTGATTTGGTCATTAAATAATGTATCAAGTCAACGTCTATGTCTTTAAAAATCTAACCCTTATTCGTTACCATTTTTGCTATCCTAATTCAGGCCTAGCTCATTATTTAGCTGGACTAATAGCCTTCCAATCGTGCTTCTGGGCTGCAGTCATTCTCTGCCAGTACAGCCTCTGCACTGTTGCGTTATTTTTCTAAAAAGCTGATTTTTATTGTTTCACCTCCTTGCATAAAAACCTTTGGTGGCTCCTCACATCCTAG